TTGATGTGATAGAGAATGCTATCATTGAAATTTTAACAATTTATAGAAAAACACTCATTGACCAAAACATAAGCATTCTTAATGTGTTGTCAGCCTGGAAAGCATAACTATGGAGCCTTGCTTGCTTAACGTGTACACTCTTTTTTATTAGCACCAGTAAATTCAAATTCTGGCTGGCTGGTCTTAATTTTTTTCGAAAGTCTGAGGCTGGGTTGGTCTTAATTTGTTCTTGAATAGTTAAGGCGTAACAGTGCAGTTGCTAGCAATTGTGCTCGAAGGAGGTATTCAGGCCTGATTTACCAACAAATTGGGACATCGTTTATATGCCAAAATTCACCAAAAAGCACCCCTATTTGACAAAACGATTCCTCGAGAGAGAGAGAGAGAGAGAGAGAGAGAGAGAGAGAGAGAGAGAGAGAGAGAGAGAGAGAGAGAGAGAGAGAGAGAGAGAGAGAGAGAGAGAGAGAGAGAGAGAGAGAGAGAGAGAGAGAGAGAGAGAGAGGTTCGCTTGCCCCACATCAGTTTTCTGTGGGGGTTTTTCTGTCCCATTTGGTTCATCCTCCTTCTCCTTCCTCCTTTACAAAACATTTGATCCCTTCCTGCATGTCATAGCCTGCAACAGAGACCATTAATCTCCCCCTTTGTAATTGTTTTTGTAATTGTATAGATTATTTAATATTGAATTGTATAGCTTTTAGAATAGTGAACGTAAACTTTGATGGTCTGTATCGCAGGAGCATTTCATAATGCTTCTCAGCAGTGTTTGCAGTTCTTCATCTAAAAAAGCACTATTTTAAGCAGACAAGGTATGAGAAACGTTTCAGACTTGGTCCTTCGGTGTTTCTCTTTTTGAGATTTTTCTTTATACACATTTACCAGCTGGGTTAAAGAGCTTTAGGGAGCTATAGCCCTCTTATCCCTCGGCCACTAGGAAGAAACGGAGCAGTTGAGATCTTTTCTCTTGATATGGAGCAAACCTCTATTTTAGATGTAAGAAATGCAACTAGATTTTTAAGCGGTACCTTCTAAAACAGTTCGTATTTTGTCAACAAAGGAGCGCGTAATTTTCTTCAATCCATTTTTTAGATTGTAAATGGGTGTGGGTCGCCCCCACCCGTAATCTAGTCTTACTGTTTTTTTTCCAAAACCCTTACATTCGTACTGATTGAAACATGGAAGAGCTCAAATGTTTTTAGTAGTTTGTGGGTGGTTTTGGGTGGTTTTGGGTGGTTTTGGGTGGTTTTGGGTGGTTTTGGGTGGTTTTGGGTGGTTTTGGGTGGTTTTGGCGGATTTGTGTCGTGTCACGCTTTAGCCACTATTAGAAGAGGCACTGCTAAACTGTCATCTTCAATGCTTCTTATCAGAGGCCATTTGAAAGTGGGGGAGGGGGAGGAGCGAAATATTCAAAAACAAGCAAATTTGCCATCAAATGACAAAACCGTGCTTGTACTGACAATTTATTCAGCAATTTGTCATACCCCGCAATTTTCGCCGCTGATCCCAATTAAAGAATAGATTCTACCATCATTACAAGTATTTTTGGCTTCCCTCTCCTGTAGAATATGAAAAACCAGCGAACGTACTACCAAGCCACTGTGTACAAAACATAAATTTTCCCAAGGCCCCCACACAGTTGTAAAGTACATTACTTTTTGTACTTTTCCCTCTTATTTCTAGGGCAAATAGGCGCCAATAAAAGAAACCACCTCTTGAAAGCAATTGTCACAAAAATTTATTGTCGCGAGTTCAGTTTAAAGGTTGCACAGTATATTTCAGTTATTCTAAAGAGGATCAGAGTTCTCTCTAGAAACAAGGGGGGGGGGGGAATGATTCTTGCTTCAGCACACTTGTTAACCTTGTTTAGCTTTATTCTTTGACTTTTTATGTAATTTGATTCCTTAATTTTGAAAAATAAACGTTAAAAGTTTTACTAAACAATCTTTTTGTGAGACAATTGAATAGCGTAGAATTTTTGTTCTGACATTTTATACTCTAAAAAAGAGTGTCAGACGAAAAGCTGCAGTGTGATTCACAATATTTGCATTTTTGAAAGCCATTATTCGAATTTTTATTCCAAATCCTATCAATTCGAATATTCAATAAATACAACTATTTATCGTTATATTTCTGTTATCAATAGTTGTTACAATTACACACTCTTTTATAAGAAAACTTCAAATTTTAGCCTCAAGTGTTTCTTATTTTGTCTCCTCATTTTGTAATGGAATTTCCTGTGCATCATAGTGTCTGGACAAAACCTGTGCTTGATAAAATAATTAATGCTATTAACGCTTTCTGTTTTCCTGTTGCCATTTTTTCATTTTGCAATTTTTGCTGGTATTTTATTTCTTGAGTTTTGTTGAATTTCAGCCTGCCGTGTTTCTTATGTTGTTCTGATATTTTGGGCAAATCTCAGCCTGATGTTCAAATAGGATCGTTCTATAAGGACTGTTCAAATAGAAAAGCGTGTAATGAATTTGATATCTGTACTATTTGCTTTGCAGGGAGGTAATTGGAGAGAGAAGTACGAATACAGAGACGGATATCAAAATTCGATAAAGCATTAAACAGGAAGAAAAAACAATCCTACCAATGATTGAAGAGAAGTAAGTTGAAGTTATATTTCAAATTCTGAAGGGAACTCAGTGATATCCGAACTGTGTAATAAGCAGAACTAATCAAATAGAAGCAAAAGCCAAATTAAGACAATTTGCTAAAAATGAAATAAAATGCGTTGAAAAAATCGTCATTTCCTATTTGAACTTTTTCATGAAAACATCCAGTAGTTTAGACCCTTATTTAGTTGTGGTTAAAGCTTTAACAAAAAGACCAAAAAGATATGGGTTCAGGATTTTCATGTTTTAGATATTCTGATCAGAATGTCGAAAGCTATAATCTCCTACGTTGTATTCCTTTCATATTGATTGCCTACAGTAAGAATGGTCTCTTCAAAGGTTAATTTTAATCTACTGGAAGAGGTTTTACACGTTCGTTAATGTTTTGAGAGAATATTTTTTAAGTATTTTTATAAACGTTTTAGAAGAACTTTTACAGTATTTTGTGAACATTTTTGAAGAAGATCTAAAGCATTTTTTGAACGTTTAAAGAAGTGTTCAATCATTTTGTGCACTTTTGAAGTTTTCAAAGACTTCGCCTAAAGTACGCCCTCCATTTCACTTTAATCATAACCACTATATTTATGGACATGAAAATAAACTGTTAGTAAATTATAGTCTCTGGCTAGTAAACTGACAGCGATTAGAAGAATTGAAAGCTTTACCCAATTGCCCTAAACGTTACACGACAAAATGGGCGTGGTTAACTGGTGTGTTCTTTAACTCCACTACACTTTTTTTATAAGAACAATTTTATAAGAACACGAGCCTCAAAATTGGTCAAAAGTTAAGAACAAATTAAGAACAAGATGAGGCTGAGCTTCTGCAAATTTTGAACAACGTTTTTTCTCATAATCGAGGATTTTTAGCCATGTGTGGGTGCTTTTCGGTGAATATTCAAACTTCTCGGCAAATGAGGGTTGTCTCACTCACTTTGTTGGAAAATAAGAACTGAACACTTTCCTTGAAAAAGCTAGCGCCCGTACTGCTTAAACCCTATTAAATAAAAAACAAATTAAGAACAATCCAGCCTCAGATTTTCGAAAAAATTAAGAACAGTCATTCTGAACTTAAATTTATTGGTTTTTATAAAAAGAGTGTAATTAATAAGAATGATTGTGGAATTGATGATGATGATGATTATTGTTTAGATTATTTTTCGTGATGATTATGATTATGATTATGTTCATGACTGTTGTATGGCCATTTATGTAGAAAATGTTCTGATTAGTCCCTCTGTTCTGACGGTAGATCGATGTCCTGATAAATCCATATTTTTTCGTTGGTGTATGACATGCAAGCAGCAAAAAGACCGAAGCTAATTTGTTGAATTCGTTAACACTGGGGGATCTTGTTTACAAGCGGCGGTCGTTTAACTGTGGAACGGTTGAAAAGCCGAAAGAAAATAAACGACTTGAGTTCTTGGAAGCTGTAAAGCCAACAGTTTACTTAGCCCCCCTGGAATCCAATTAAACATGACAACCGCAAACCCAAGGAGGCTTCACATCTTTGAGTATGGTTAGACCACACCATCCGCAGTCCCTTAAACCTTGAAAGTCTCCAGTTCATCTTTATAATGATTTTCACCGTCTTTATCGTCTTCATTTTTTCTTAATCATTTTTATGCACTTATAAGATTACAATCATCATCATCGCCAACTTCCAGGACTAAGCTCAGATCCCAGTTTGCCTATCGTCGTCTTCTTGCTGGTAGCTTGCCTTGGCTAGGCCTTTGATGTCTTTTCCTTAGCAAATGAACCTCTCAAATATGATGATAAAATAATCAACAAGGTTTAAGTAGGATGAAATAAGAGGGTTCTTTAATACCACCCCAAATGATTAAGTGCCAAAAAGTCTTTCACCAAACCAGGATCATAATTGCATGGGATACAGGAAAATGCAGCCTGTTGTTCCTATAAAAATTAATTCCAAGAAACTCTCTGTTGTTCGTATCTATAAACAGATCTCTGAGAAATTTCACACGGATATTCAGTGTTGTTAGTAAACTCCCTTTGATATTGCGTTTTGCCCTACAACTGTACTCGATTTGATTTCAAACGTGCTTTTTTGTCAGTCTATTGAGCATTGCTAGATATCCCAGGTGCGCCCTTAGAAACCGGAATCGATCGTTTCGCGCCAAAACTCAGGGTTCTCCCCCGACGGCCAATCAGCTGATTGGTTCTTGATCATGTGGATTGCTTGTTAACAATCACTCTCTTTGAAAGCCCAGCTGGCTGTTACTAGCAGATTATTTGATGGGGAGAACATAATAACTGTACATTAAAATTGAGCTGGCTCTCAAAGAATGATCTTCGATCTCTCGGAATTCACCTCGGAGTACTTTAGACGAAGGTCGCTAGAACGCGTTGCAAGGTAAGGGGATCTTTTTCAATTATATTCGTCGTGCTTGAAGTTGTGATTCCATAACATAACGCTGAATTTATGTTTGGAGAAAAACTTGTTGCCAACCAATACAATTAGAGATGATACACAGTGTCACCAAGTTATTATTTACAGGAAGTCTAAGTTCCAGTTGTATTTGACCGAAAGATATTTATCTGTTTATTTTGATAAAGTTCAATTTAACCCTACGGTAGCAATGCTAAAGTTTGGAGTCAGAACGCTGTATCTAAGGAGGTGATTTTCATTCCTACAAAACTCAATTTCTGTATTATTTTCTATAATTATTTTTTCAAAGAATTTGTCAACATTTTCTAATGATGAACGCGTCATAGCTTTATGTCAGAAATTGGCAGTGTTTAAAAGCTGCAGAGATAATGAGATGTCGGCTATTGTTGATTGTAGTTTTAAATAGACAGATTACCATTCTCTTTAGAATTGAGATAAGAGCAAGGAAATGCTAGAGCTTACATCATAAAAACCTCAGCCGATCCAAATTTTTCCAGTCTACTGGAAGTGTCTGGCTTGATTGGTCCATCAGAGTTCAAAACAATTATACGCATATATTTTATTTTTAACTGAAATTGGTAAAGAGTTACACATATTTCAACTGCTACTTATCTTTACAGGTAAAACATATTTTTTAAATTTAGAAAACTATTTGTAATTATTTATCAATTTAGTTCTATATGAGCATTTGTAATTTTATGAAAATTTTTCGATTAAATGATTTTTTTATGTTTGACTTAAAACTTGATATTTTGAAGGTTATAGTTCACTTATCGAATGCCGCCACAATAATATTGTATCATTCGCAGTTTTTCGTGATCTTTCAACGTAACTAATATTCAGTTTACTCCCTAAGTTGCTGTCGCTATTACTAATGGCAACCTGATTGGTTTGCCTCAAATATTTCATGGGTATGATTTTAAGGTCTTGGTCAATTGAAAAATGCTGTGAATTATGGCTTACATTTAAAACAGAATATCCATCAGATTTCACTTTTAATCCGAATAACATTTTTTCCGTGACCTGGCAGACCAGAAAGATATCCGATTCACACAGGTCTCTGTCTGTATGAATGACAGTCCGATTAATTCATCTGTACCTATTCATTTGTAACCTGCAGCCGTATTTACATCAATATAAATCGTTTCCTCGTCTTTTTCACTAGATTTATCTTATAATCGTTGTTACATCAAGTGGCGAAGTTATCCGAGCGACAGTGGTCAAAATGATCGAAAAGCCAGAGTCCCTGGATATATGGACAATTCAAGATGTTTTTCTAACACCACCGACAAGTCCTTGCCTCGCAGAAATGCATATTGGAGATCTAGAATCAATTGATGACATATCCGCACCTACATTTAGGAAAACTGAATCAATGATTATTAAAGACTGCATGTGGGGTGCTTCAGAAAATCACGGCTCTAGATTTCGAGAACATGCGTACACGAGGAGTTACGTTGGGGAACTCCCTCTACCAGGGAAACTTCCCGCTTTTATGGACAACTCCGAAATCTCAAGCAAATTCCTTCACACTGTGGATCCAGCTGAAGTTTTTCCTTCTGTTTCCGCTTTAGAAGAAAGAATTGCACTCAGAGACATTAGTTCACCAGAATCAGGTACATGTTTGATTTTCTTTATAATTATTTTCAAATTTTGTCGCCGGGCAGACTTTTAGGAGAGTCTTGTCGGGTAAACATTGGTTAACTATCTAAATTGGTTTGTTTCCCTTAAATTCAAAACATTTCGGTATCAACATCTATCAAGCAAAAAAATGTGGTTTTAAATCACAATTTCTTGTTAAAGTAACTGCTGCAAAAAATTTTGGTTGCTGTCAAAGGAATGCTTGTCTGAAACTGAGAAAAGTTGACAATAGATTGTAAATCGTAAGATTTCAGTGTTTCATTCACACCCTCTAAGCGTGACCCAATCATCAGAGAAGTTGTCCAGATTTTTCACACCACGACATTACACGTTGAAGTGTCGCGTGGGTTGTGTTCGAAATGAATTAATGAGCGATGATATTAATATGTCCGAAGTTGTCATAAAAGAAAGTAGGAAGAAAGGCTACAATCACTTCGCTGATATTGCTTCTCGGTGCGAGATTTTTTAAGGGAGCCTTATACCTTTCCGCTGCCAAATAAGATTTTCTTGCCAAATCTTGCGGCATCCTGAACGCTTTGTATGGGCGGAAATATATTTCAGTGACGAGGCAAAATTTGCATTTGCAAATATCAAGGATTTGGCCGCCGTTCTATTGCGTTATCTGGGATCAAAGTTTGCGGACGTAACTTCCGGATTCTCACAAAGATCGCTACAGTTTAACAGTTTCTCTGTGACCAGACATAACGATAGCAAATTCTCGGAAATTACTGTCGATGACCTGTCACGGCGATAATTGATTGTTGGTGTTTTTACATCGACTTGAAAAATTGGCCACCTCCTGGTCGGCTACTGTGACGTAAGCTGATGTGTAATACAAGTCGTCCCCCACCATTCTTGTGTTGTTTACATACTTTTCCGAGTCTGAAGTCAACTGCGGTTTACTCTGTCAAAACATCTGATATCTGCAATCACAGCTATTTTACACCGAGATAAACCGCAATTTTATTCCCCTTCATGTCTCTTACATGCTTAATTCCCTGATGTTTCTGACAAGGGAGATGGGGCCCCAAGAAAGAGTTCACAAACATTCCTCTGAAATTAGTTGATTCACGAAATTTCTTGAAACTTCATAAGAGCAGACAAGTTCATGTCTCTTATAGCTCGATTTCCACAACAGATTTTGATAATGGCCAGACCGGGCCAAACGGCATTTCAAGCACCCTTCTGTTGTCTCTCTGCATCACCATTTTTGTTTTGAAAAGGCTTATTGCCATCCGGTTATTTGGCAGCCTTTGGTGCTATAGCTGGAGAGAAGCCACGGCAAAGTCAGAAATAGGGTAGGGGGCTTGTTCAGTGTGGGGTGAACGTTTTTACTGATAGTTACCAAAGCATCCTTTCTGTGACCTTTGTGTTGTTATCTGCAAAATCGGGTGTTTCTCAGCATAAATTTGAGGGGCCAGATTAAGAAGTTCTCTTGTACGCAAAATTATAACATCATATCATAATAATCATCATGTCGTCATCAATCAAAAGGCAGGGGAATCCCCACTATTATGCAATCGTTCCTTTTTTAGCAGAAACACCGCAAATTGTAGGGATATCAAAGAAAGGTTTTTCCTGACCTACGGAGTTTTTTCAAACGATGGGAAGTTTTTCTGGCCAACCAGGAGTATTCATTACATAAACTTTTGTTTATTTTATATAACGCAGGTTTGCCTTAACCCCATTACAGCTTATTTACTGGCTTCTACCGATGTAGTATCAGAATCCCGCTTTGTTTTTATTGCAATTACCGTTTGGGTTTTTCACCGGAAACATTTCAGACATCTAAATTTTCTTTGATTAATCACAAATCAGCGTTATTCTTTAACGTCAATGCAATATTTGGTAAATGGAAATAGGAAGTGGTCGAAAGAAAAATATCAAACATAATTTTGAATCATTATGTTTTGGGTATTTTGGCTTATACTTCATTGGTACAGAGAGGGTCAATGTACAATATTATAGTGTCCCAACGATTGGCGCCTTAAAAACAACAGATGGATTGCTATTAAGCCTAACAAACTACATAGATCTTATCAAGATGCCAGCATTGTCCATTAAGGAGGCATTTCAATCCCAAGTCTTATTTTGGACACAACGGCTGCCAAATGAGTATTGTTCACTTCACAGTTGCTTTGCTTCGGTTCTTGGTTGATCCCAACATATTTTACTGCCTGAAATTACCAAACTGCGAAAAGAACTGAGAGCAAATTGAATTTGTCAATTGTCGCTGTTTTTCACTGCAACGGTGCCAGGACTTTTGGAAACGGCATGGGGTTGCTTTTTTCACCGGACAAACGTACCAAGTTTTTTTTCTAAAAGCTGCATATAACATATTAACAGGGTTTCCTTTGTGGCCTTCCGGAACCTTGCCCCAATTCTGAACCCAGCTTAACCCTCATTTGTTCGTGCCCCTAGCAACGAAACATCTGTAGTAAAAAAATTATTTGTAGGCGAAGGGATGCGAGAGTGCGATCGATTTGTTATCATGCATTCAAGAGAGTGTTGTGAGAGCAGAACCAAGCCGAAGACTGTTATGTTGGGCAATTACACAACATTTTAATCATTTGCTCTGAGTTTGAAGGTCATTTTCTCTGGTTTTCCCAAGAAATAGGCAAATTTCTTAAGCCCTGGCATTGTCTGAAAGAAAAATTCTCATAAGCAGATGCCGACCATTACTGGAGGTGAATTAAGCCATAGCAAGGCCATGGGCAAATAAATGTAATTGCGCCAACTTGCCACCCGTTAGGTATCTTAATTCAATGTAAGACGGCTTTATTAAACTAGATGCAGTTCCTAACGATCTGAAACTGAAAACTACGCTTTCCATTAGCGGTGATCAAATATAAATACAAAATACAGTTGAGTTGTATAGAAGCAGACGAGCCAAAATCGTTCGATTCGGCCTAGTCAGTTTACCTTTTGTAACAACAGTGTAATGATTTACGATTATTTCATTACAGCAACCACTAATCGATATTATATAAACTGTATACACATTAATGCAGAATTCAGTGAACTTCCTTTCGTTTCTAATTATCAGTTTGTGCATTAAACAAAATACAGACAAAGATAGAACAAAAGAGGTTTATCTTGGGGAAATGTGGCATGTTTACTTTATTACTTCTTTGTCCTTGGTTGACCAGAATAAACCTATTTCCGTATTTATGGTACAAGCGACTGTTCAAATCTTTTATTCCAGACTGCACGCTTCCATTTGATTCCCCCTAGAATTGTTAATTATGATTATGATAATGACTAAAAGCGGTAAGAGAAGTGCCCTGGTTTTGATTATCATTAAACAGTGATTAACAGATCACATAGATGATGCGTCAATTTGTTATTTATAAAAGGCAATTGTTTTATGATAGGCATTTATCGGCTAAAGACATGGCATTTTTGTCCATTTTACTTTGTCGTCGGAGTAGGGGTTCAAGACAACAAATAAAAAAATAAAAGGGTGGTATCTTGCATCATTGAATGGTAGGGCGACTAGAATTATATCAAATGAGACTGAAATCTTCTTTCGTTATGTAACGTCTCCTCGTCTGCTCTCACTTTTTGCAAATCGTTGTCCAATCGAAATATTTGATTATGAGGATTAACAAGGTGCCTCTTGCGCTCGTGTTGCGATTTTATCACATACCACTCCTTTGTCTATGGAATCTGGTAACTTTGGGCACTAATACCTTTCTTTGTTTTTCCTTTTTACCCATGTATATGGATTCTGGTAAAGAAAGAATTTATGAATTGAATTAAGGTTTACTTTATATCTATAACTGCATTTAGACTAGACCAAACAATGATATAGGCGTTTTACGTCATACCGTCCACAAGTGGTATCCGAGAAATCACGAACTTTCTACATGTGGCTCCACAACTGTCAAAATTATCGGTGCCCTGCCTGTTTTCTACAGGCTGAGGTCGGCCTTTGGAAAGTTTGAACTATGTTATATTGCTTCTTTATTTATGCAGAATATAATACGAAAGAACCAAAGAGAAGAACTTGCCCTACCCCTCTCCTTTCCCAACTTACTTTTTGTCCCCAGACATCCAAGGATTGTTTAAACATCTACTTCCTAGAAACTGCACCCATTACCCAGGCACCGTGGAGCAGGGGGCCCCCTACCTTTTGCAAAATGGTAAGTATTTAGAAGGGCACCATCAGTAAAACCCCCTTTTTATTTTGTTTAAGTCCCCGCACATTTTAAGATCCCCCACTTTTCTCAACACTCCACGGTGCCTTTTACCCAAGGACTGCCCCAAAAAGGTACAGCATACCTATTGTGAATGCTCAATAAAGCGGACTGTTTTTAGACTAATTCTTATGTCTTTTATACGAAGATGCCCTTTGCATACAAGCTACCTCTCTCACCCTTTTTGACGGAAAGGGTGAGAGTCTTTTCAGAGGTTTCGATGTAACTCTTCTCTTTACAGAGGCCATGCTATTCTATGCACGTACTATTCTAACTCCATTCTTGTGCTTCCGAATTTTCCATGACGCTGAAAAATTTCAGCTTGCTGTCAAACACTGTCTTATTACGGCCTTATAGGATTACTCACATTGATATCTGTATCGTTATGTTCATACAATAACATGGTATCTCCCCTTTTCTTAGGTCGTAAGACATAATCGTTCGATGCTAGTCAACATCAGTTTTAATGCTGTTAGATAAACAATCAAACAATTTGGCTGCTGGTACAAAAATAATTTTGTTCCTAACACTAGTAAACAATCTTGGCAATTAGAGGGGATTGTGGTTTTGGATGCACTTTAAAGAAAATTGTTGTTGGTTTTCATATCTTTCTATCTTTGTTTTTCTTGTTTGTAAAGCCAGCTGCTCAAATGTCGAGTTCTATTCTCATGACAAAGGTCCATCAGGTGCCGTCTTTTGGCGTTCTTTTTGTCCAATTCCTCTTCATTAAGTAATGAACAATTTCTCAATGTCATTGCATTTTATAGCATGTTAGA